GTGAGCATTTTTTCATGTACTTGTTGATTGATTGTATGTCCTCCTCTGAGAAGTGTCTGTTCAGGTCCTTGGCCCATTTGTTGACTGGGTTATTTGTTATCTTATTGTTTAATTTTTTGAGTTCTTTGTATATTCTGGATATTAGTGCTACCAACACAAAGGAGAGACAACAGAGATATTAGAGGAGCATTTTTATGGTTTTAATGTTTACCCCTCATTTTAAAAAAAGTTTACCATAAAAATGTAAAATGCTGCCATGTTACAGTGACGGCATCTCTTGATTTTATCAACAGGCCACATTACATCTAGGTTTCAGAGAGTATGCTATATGATTCATAATGACAAAAATTACATAGTGATGTATTTCTCACAATGTGTCCCCACTGTTAAATGATGCCTGATTATATTTAGGTAGGGGCTAATTTAAACTGTCTTTAAGTTGCTAGCTGAATGTTATTATAATAATGGTAGCATATACATTTAATACTTATAGTTCATAATAAAAACATATAAATTTTCAAGACTTGCTATATTTTAGGCCATGTTTTACTGTTTATTCTTTTAATATTTATAAACACATCTCCACTAGAAAGTAAGTTCTATGAGGACAAGGACTTAGGTTTTGCTCACTCCTATCCCTGGTACCTAGAACATTTTCTTATTTTATATCTAAATTAAAACATATATATTAAACTATGTAACTACATACATAAACTAAATTTTATATATATGTATTTCTGATTATATTAAACTAACAACTTGTGGCAAAGCTACTGAAGCAGTTTAGATACAGAGAGGTAAATTAACTTGCCTAAGATGGCCTAGTTAGTGGAAGAGTTAGGAATCAAACTTGTATCATCTGATTTCAGAACTTGTTTTCTCAGTTGCCATTGTTTCTTGCTGCCTCCATTTTGTCTAGAGAAATGCAGCAACACCAAGAAATAATAAATGTTGCTTATTCAGTATAATTAATTGGTAAAGGGCTGTGATGGTCTATTGCAGGATTTCTCTTCCTCAGCACTGTTATTTGGGTAGATAATTTGGGGAGGACTTCATTGTGCATTGTAAAACCTTGGCTCCCATAGATTCCAGCAACCCTCCCCAGTTATGATGTTCAGAAAGATTACTGGAGATTGTCAGATGGCCTTCAAGAGATAAAACCCTCCCTCCCTACCTCCCTCAGTTGAGAATCACAGGTTTAGATCTATACATTAGGGGATATCGAAGAGGGAAATCTGGAAGATACTTAGTAAAGTTTGGCCTTCCTGCCATGCCATAGTGAGTTCAGAGACAAGGCAGGAATTAGTTTACTCTTTGACTAAGGCCATGTTTTATATCAAGACCTGAATTTCATACCTTTTATAAGGATTACCTTGGAAATAAATTTATATAAAATCGTACATTTTCCCTTTTTATTCACAAAGAGCATCAGATCTCTGACAAGAATTTATATTTGGGGGTGGTGGTGGCAGTGCCAGGATTGAACCCATGGGCACTTAACCAATGAGACATGTCCCTAGCCCTTTTTTATTTTTTAATTTATTATTATTATTATTATTATTATTATTATTGTTATTGTTTTATTTGGACACAATATCTTTATCTATTAAAGCTTCAAATACATTTTTAGTAGTAAAATTTCTGAAGTTGTGTGATCAGTTTTGCTAGAACACAACAGGGATATTCCTAAAAATATCTCAGTACAAAATCAGGCAATGAAAATCACAGGACTTGAGGGGGAAATGAGGTGAGGAGCTTTAGTCAAAAATTCTTAGTAGTAGGTGGGCATCATGGCATGTATCTATAGTTGCATTTACTTAGGAGTCTGAGACAGGAGGATTGCTTGAGCCCAGGAGTTCAAGGCCTTGAACAATGGAAAGATCTTATCTCAAAAAAACAAACAACACAAAACTTCATTAGTAACACATAGAAATAAAGATGCAATCTAATAAAAATGGTATCACAGCTTTACACGTTTATTGTTACAAAATGCTAGAAATACTACAACAAACATATACCCAGCCTTGAAAAATACCTGTGATTTTTGCTTATAGAAGTGAACTTTATTGGAAGGGTTTTAGCTGGTGAGTTATTGGGAAAATTTATAAGAGGCATGGTCTAAAAGTAAATCTAAAGTTGTATCACCAGATGTGGATGAGTATGTTTCAGAAAACAGACAATGAACTGAAATAGCTGGTAAAATGTTTGAAGCATATGCAGATATATGTTTTGTGAATTCTTATGTGACTGAGTTCTGCTGGATGCAGATTGTAGATTCACTTAGTACTTCTTACAGCAAAATAATGCATAAGTGACAGTGAAGTTGTGTTATGCTCATATCTTAGAACACATTTCTATACAAGTGTTAAAACAGAACCGATGGCACTCTTGATCTGAATCAAGAGTAAAATTTTTAAAAAATCACACTGAACTACACAAAAGTATAACATGTATCGGATGAAAGCATAATTTTAAAAGAATACGTGGTTAAATTTGGTAGAACTGAAGAAAAGCTGGAAATCATTGTGTCCCTCCTGAGCCGTGGCCTCCTCCTTTGTGACAAGGATAGTGGTCAGAACCTAACAATAGGCCAGCTACTTCCCACACTGTCAAGTGCTCTATCTGCTATTAAAAGAATTTATACTAACAGACATGGTTTTATGAAATTTTTCACTTATTGGCACTCAGTGTTTGTTCAACTCATTTTTAATTTCATTTAATTACTTAGCAACTGTGTTTACCCTTTACCATTGCAATACTTTAAGATTCAGCAGTATTAAATGCAATGTAAATGCTCACATAACAAAAGAAATGATCCTGAAATTTAAAATTAATTTTAAACTTTACAAAAGTGGATTTTAAAAAACATTAACAAGAGCAGTGAGGTTTGATAGTCCCATCCGTAATAGAAAATTGCCACTTTGAAACAATTAAAGCTGGAGTTGATATGTTGGTTTCTTATACTTTTAATTCATTTTTGACAAAATGATTAGAGAATAATACAGGGGTGTGTGTGTGTGTGTGTGTGTGTGTGTGTAGTGATTGTATGCCAAATCAACTATCAAGAAGAAAGAATTGAGATCAGAGTAAGCTGCAGTGAGTTCAGTGATATTATAAAACTGTTAAGTAGCATTTTTGCACATATTTACCCACAGTAGATAGTAGAAAAGGTATATTTAGAACTCCAAATGACAGGTGGTTTGAATTTCATCTTCTTTGTTCAGTAACCTTAATTTTACAATAAAGAAATGGGTGTTTTGCTACCAAAATATTAGTGATAATAGAAGTGCCTACATGTTATCTTTTTCTTTTATTCTTTCAGCCATAATGAAAGGAAAGTGACCTGCAAACATCCAGTCACAGGACAGCCATCACAGGACAATTGTATTTTTGTAGTGAATGAACAGTAAGTAAAAAGTTTCATGCATTGCCTGTAATCAGAATGAGGTTAGCGTTGAGATTGCTCTAATCCGTATTTAATACAGTAAAATAGAACAGTTTTCTTACCTGAACAGTTGCAGTCAAGTGTAATAGTCCCAGCTGTTAACTACATGTGGTGTAGACATGACCTAAAATTTATTTTTCAGGAGGAATATAATTTTAGAAGCTATTTTTGTGAGAATTCAAACTGAGAAAGTTTGAATTCTCAAGAGCACAGAATATAAAAGTTAAAGAAGCTGTATAAACTTGGCAAAATTATTAAACTTAATTTGAACTCAGTTTTTCTCCTTCCATTCAGTACATTTCCTAGGATTTCATAAGCATTAAAAGAAATAAGTGAAAAAAGTTTATATACTATGAAGCTGGCCACAAATATTAACATTTTCTTATTTTTAACATTAGAATAATTAATCTTATTCCTCTTTTATTCTTTTTTCCAGGGGGTGGTACTGGGAATTGAACCCAGAGCCGCAACCATGTAATCTTGTCTTCTACAACTGAACTCACCCCCAGTTTCTTATAATTCCTTTTTGTTTTTATTTTTTGTTTTCGACAAGAGTCTTGCTTTGTTGCCCAGGCTGGTCTCAAACTCTTTAAGCTCAAGCAATCAATCCTCTTGCCTCAGCCTCCTGAGTAGCTGGGGACTACCAGTGTACATCACCATGCCTGGCCTGTAATTTTCCTGTTAGATGACCAAGTTGATTATCTTCAGTAATGCCTTTTAGAATTAGCATGATATTAACTACATTGAGTTTAGCAGAAGAGTTAATTGTGTTTAAAATAGTTGTAAATATTAAATGTTACTCTGTAGTAACAAGTATCCAGTTATTTTGAAAACAGGACTCTTGCTTTGTTAACTTCAGGAAAGCATTACTGTAAAACAGTTTACTTACACAGTAAGTTCTAGAATTTAACATATTTTATTTTCAGGACTGTTGCAACCATGACGTCTGAAGAAAAGAAAGAACGGCCTATAAGTATGATAAATGAAGCTTCTAACTATAACATGAKTTCAGATTATGCAGTACATCCAATGAGCCCTATAGGCAGAGTAAGTACTTTGCTTATTGTTAATTATTGATCAGTGATAGTATGTGTAATTATTATATTTTTATTACTTCATGGATTTAACTGTGTTGGAGGTAATTGATATGAGGAGCAGTGTTTGAAATATAAAGTAATAAAGTTGTAATTTAATGACATTTTTAAAAAATACTTAGTTTACATGTTGAATAATTTTGCATATAGAAAAATACTTGTGTGAGAGAATAGGCACTTTATTGAATCAGTGTAAGGTTTGTTATGGTTTTCTTCTTTTTTTTCTTTTTGATACTGGAGATTGAACCTGGGAACACTTTACCACTGAATTACATCCCCATCCTTTTTTGAATTTTTAATTTTGAGACAAAAGTTTCACTAAGTTGCTGAGGCTGCCCTTGAACTTGAGATCCTCCTGCCTCAGCTTACCAGGTTGCTGAAATTACAGATGTTTACCACCACACCTGGCTCAATTTAAGATTGAAAGGGAAGATTAATACAATAACCTAGAAATCAAAAATTTTCCGACTACATGAATGCCTAGATTTAGGAAACATAGTAGAAAAATAGTTATAATTAAAAATTATGTTTATTGTAAGGGAATGGGCAGTAGACAATAGTTTTTTTTTTTTTAATGTCTGCTAAGTTGTTTAAAATAAAGTTGTGTAGGATATTATAAGTAAATAAAATTTTCAAATAATGTAAGTAATTTCTAATTCTCACTAAATAACAGAAGAAAGCTAAACTCAGAATGCAGATGGACTTTTGAAATATGATGTAAAACCAAAAGTAAAAATATGAAATAATGAGAAAGTCAACCACATTATTTTCATATATGCAGAATATCTGTAATTCATATAACAAAGAATAATTACTTGATAATTAAAGAACTGCCTTGAATTAATAAGAAAAAGGGTTATGATCCCATTTAAATATGGGCAAATACTGTAAAATCAATTCTAAAAAAAGAAAATGGAATTTACTCTTTAGTACATGGAAAAGATTCTCAGTCTCAGTAATAAGAAAAATGCTAATTATAACAAAAAAAGACCATTTTTCAGCGATTGGATTTGCAGAAGTCAAAAAGTTTTAAAGCATAGCATATTGGCAAAAGTGTAGTAAAATAGACATTTTTCTTTTTCTTTATGTAGTGAGTCTCAAGTGAAATGGATACTATGTGTATAGTCATTTGAAAAAGATAAGATACTCCATAACTATAAGAACAATTATTTTAGATTGATAGGAATGCACATGCCCATAGTAATATTGATTACCTCACTAGGTTGTCAGGAGGGTTGGCTGGATGCTAGACCTCAAGGGTAAGAAGTAGACTGGTCCTGTTTTATATTTTTGTACTATTTAAATTTTATACTGTAAGCATTATCTAGTTGAAAGCAGTTTAGAAAAAATACTGTTGTGTACAAATAATGCTGTTAGCCTTCATTCATCAAAACACTATTAAATGCAGATATAAAGCAAAATGTTTTACCATTTGACTTATTCTTATACATTTGTTAATAATTTTTACTTACTATTCATTTTATAAAGTAGATAAAACAAAATACTGCACTTTAAGAATAGTATATATAGATTTTAAAGGCAATAGTGTAAAACCTATGATCCTTTTGTAATATCCTGAGGGTAGGAGGGTTCTTTGTATTGAACTCTTACACTCGAAACAACTAAGCCAACAAAAGTTGAATTGTGATAATTTATTTTCCTACAAGTCTCAGAGAAATCTAAAAAATACAAGATTAAAATAGTGAAGATAAAAAATAATTTCAAATATCTAAGCATTATTACTGCATTTTCTCTTTTTTTTTTCTGTTTAGACATCACGGGCTTCAAAGAAAGTTCATAATTTTGGAAAGAGGTCAAATTCAATTAAAAGAAATCCTAACGCACCTGTGGTCAGACGAGGTTGGCTTTATAAACAGGTATTTTTTTCTCCCATTTGATAAGAAATAAAGGATAGAATCAAAGAGATCTTTTGAGCTGAATGTTGCCAAGACAATTACATGAAAATATATAAAATAGAAAAGGAAATGTACAATAGTCTCCCATACCCCTTCACTTTTATTACCCCTAAGAGTGTCAGGTGAAAAATAAAGACAGAAAAAGGAATGGGTGTTACAATAAAGACTGTTTGTATATGTTGGCTATAGGTATTTCTAGGTTTAAAATTAAATAGGTGCTGTATGTTAGGAATCCCATGCTAAAATTCTCTATGCAGTGCTTGCTTCAACATCTTATATACTGAAATTGGAATTAGAGGGAAGATGAGCCTGGCCTCTGCACAAGCATGACATATGAATTTGTGAAGCATTCTATATATTTTTGTAAATTTTCCAGGCAGAAATATTTTTTAAACATTTGGCTTTTCTATTCATATTAAAAATCATTAGATAAATGCACAACTCTATACTTCCCTGCCATTCTTTTTTTAATATTTATTTTTTAGTTGGACACAATATCATCTTTTATTTTTATTTGTTTTTATGTGGTGCTAAGGATTGAACCCAGGGCCTCGCATGTGCTAGGCAAGCGCTCTATCACTGATCCACAACCCCAGCGCATTCTTGCCATTCTTCATAGAGGAATCTGAAAATAATTTGGATATTTCTGACTTTTTCTGGGTTTTGGCTTCTGTATTTTAAGACTATTCTCTCTTCCTTATAAGTTTTTGGGCTGTTTGGTTTTTCTTTTTTCTTGTTTGGCTATTTGCTCAGAGTTCACTTTCAGAAAGCTTTATAAGTTGGGGTTTATATTGTACTATGTAGGAAGCTTGATAACTAAGATTTTTTGGAAAGTTGTTATTAGTATGGGGATTCATAAGCATGTAAGGATATTATCCCCTTGGACTTTGCCATCATTTTTATTACTTTGAGGATGTTATTTACTTTCAGATTTCAGCTAGATTTCAGATGAGTATGTTGCCAGATAATTGAGAGAATGTGTTCAACATTCAAGGCTTTTGCCTTTGTTCTCGTATTCTACATGACAAAGMAAATTAAACATTAGTTCATTGAATGATACATAATCTGAGGTAACAAATGTTATGCCAGTCGTCCCAGTTCATTAACACATTTGTATGCATATATTAAAATGTTATACTGTCCCATAAAAATATACAATTACTGAGTTTATTAAAAATAAAAATATTTTTTAATTAGTTTATTGGTGGTGTTAATCTATTTTGTTAAATATTGCTAATTACTTTCAGCTGAGCTAATTTTTATTCATTAAAACTCATAATGAATTTTTTGTGAATATTCATTATAGTGTATTTCATCTGAAAGTTGAGTTTAGCTAATGTATTGAAAGAGGATAATCTTAAAATTCAGAGAATTCCCCACCATTCAAGTAATTAATTTTGCAAATTCTCACTAAGTTGACTGGGCATATGCTTGGTGGCTTTTTTTTTTTTTTTTTTAACTAGGGATTGAACCCAATATCCCCAGCCCTTCTTAATTTTTTAATTTTGATTCAGGCTCTTGCTAAGGGTCTCAGGGCCTCATTAAGTTGCTGAGGTTGGTTTTGAACTTGCAATCCTCCTGCCCAGCATCCCAAGCTGCTGTGTATGCCACCATACCCAGCCAAATTTTTATTTTTCATTTAAAAATCATTGTTATATTTTAACTCTCTGTCATTTAAGCTTACCTAAACCAAAAGATTTTCACCAAAAGACTTTAGTATATATAAAAAAATATATTTTTTATGTAGTGTTTGTGTTTTTTAACTAGTCATTGTTCAAAATATGTTCAAGTAGATCAGGACAGTATTTGTTCTAATAGTGGATAATAGGACTCCTTAAATTAATTCTTCTTCTAGTTCCCTTATCCCTTAGTTAATGTAGTATTGCAGAAGTGTTACCAACTAGTTGGCTTTAACATAAGTTTTTTCTCTTTGGTTTGGGTGCTTTTGTGATTTTGTTTTTGTTTTGTTTTGTTTTGTTTTGTTTTGGGTCCTGGAAATGGAAACAAGAGTGCTTTACCACTGAATTACATCTCCAGTCCTTTTTTATTTTGAGACAGTGTCCTGCTAAGTTGCTGAGGCTGGCCTCCAACTTGCGATCCTCCTGTCATCACCTCCCTAGTCATAAGTGTTTAATTTGTGGTATATGTATGCTTAAAAAAATTTTTTTTGCAGGGCCTTTTATCTGTACTAAAGAAAGAATATAAAAAGGAATAAAAAAATAATACGTACCATTTAATTACCTTTATTTTTGGTTTCTTCCTTGATATCTCTTAATTTTAAGGAAAAATCTTTCATATCCAAGGGCTTTTAATTTCTGTTGTTCTAAAGTTATCATTAGATGATTGTCACAATTACAAATAAACTAAGAAATATTGATGTGCATTCAAACTGGCCTCTGTCTTTTGGGGGTATCTGTTTAATTTTTTCTTGCAATTGATTATTATTGCCTAAGGAAAGTAGTTTTATTTTTTAAAAATTATAATTTTGCTTGAGACTGATATTTTTATGAACTGAATTATGTAGAAATAAATGCCAAATAGTTACTCATTTCTGCAGGGTGAGCAAAATCCAAACTGTAGGCATAACAATAAAAATGTTTATGAAGTGTTTTTGCATATTGTTTTCTTTATTTACACTCATTTTAGATCAGGTTACCTTTGCAACAATTTCAGTTCACATATTTTGCCTCTTGTTGAAGATTAATATATTTATTAAATCTGGCTTAGCAGAGTGCACACACTGATGCATGGCTACATTATTCTCATCATAGCAGAATTGTGTGTTCAGAGAGTTTTAAATTGCTTACAAATATAAAACCAAGTCAAATTGCTTCTGTGTAGTTTTTGTACATGGCAGTATTACTTTCAAAGACCAGTCTACTTAGAAATATCTTAATGTAAGTCCCTAGTAAAGGACTTCTAGATTATTTTAGTTAACCCATAAAAATTTATATATCTATGGGGTGCCATGTGATGTTTCCATACATGTAAACATTGTATAGTGTTCAAATCAGGGAAGTATATCTATTCCTCAAATATTTTATCATTTCTCTATGATGAAAACATTCAAATTTCTGTTATAGATTTTTTGAAATATATAGTACATTATTGTTGTCTGTAGTCACTACTATTGTGCAGTAAAATGCCAGAACTTATTTCTCCTGTCTAACTGAAACTTAGTATCCTATAATTTTGTTTGGCCTTTTAATTTGGTTATATTACACACATAACAGAGACATCTTGTTTTAAAAGCTTATTTTAAACGAAATCACCAAAAGTGAGTTTTAATTGACTGAAATGAAAATAAATACATTGATTTAATTTTAGGACAGTACTGGCATGAAGCTGTGGAAGAAACGCTGGTTTGTGCTTTCTGACCTTTGCCTGTTTTATTACAGAGGTAAGTTTGCCATAAACTGTCATAGTGTATTCTTTTGTCATTATAATATAAAAGTAGTAGAACTTTCTTAGAAAAAACATTACCACTTTTGCTATTTTTATTAGCACATATTATATGAAGAAAACTCTTCTTCATTGACCTGAAATTCTTAGTTACTGGGATATGACAGAAGGCAATGTGATACTTCAGACAGATTAGTATGAATTTTGGTCCAGTTCCTACAATCTGATTTGTCTTTTATAAACCTTTACTATACTATCCTTTAATTCATTGTCTAATAGATAAAATCCTTACTTTAATGAAGTTTTTTCACATGCCAATTTTGTCAGATTTAGTTATAGTTCCATTAAACACCTAGTGCTGCTTCTCAGCAAATAATTGCCGAGTTCGAGGAACTACTCTGGTATAATCTCAAATGAAAATCATAAATTACAGTGAAATATATTTATTTTGAACCTTATTTAAAAAACAAAAACTAATGATAGCCTTCTCCCTGACCCATTACCAGACCATCAATGTTGGCAATAAATAGAGGTATTACTTTAGTTATGGAATAAGAATTTTCATCCTCCTGTAAGGATGAATTGTTTTATTTTTATTTGTGTGTGTGTGTGTGTGTGTGTGTGTGTGTTTAAATGAACTGGATCTTACAGTGATCCCCAGGCAGGCCTCAAACTTCTGGGCTCAAGTAATTCTCTTACCTTAGCATCCTGAGTAGTTGGGACTATAGGCATGTACCATAACAGTCCTGGGAATTCTCTCTTCTTGTGTGACATGGGTCCCTTAAATATTACCAAACTAGTATCTGTCAGTGAAAGGCATACCTAATCAGACCACTTTCCAGAGAAATCCGCTCAGCTGCAATATGAAATCATGAATCTGGACAATGTCTTCCTCTTCTCTACTTCAAAGTCTAATTGGAAACTGTCACCTCTTAAATAATTAGATTGTCAATCCATAATTAATAATTTACTACTTTTCTCAAGAAGTATGAGTTATGGGAATGAGTTTTAGAACCAATTAGCAATATTTAAATCTATTTTTCAGTTACATAAAAGATATATGGAAAAATCTTATGGTCATCTGTGATAGAAATATAACACATATTAACCTTCAAAATATGGAATTTCTAGAAGCTGGGCACGGTGGTGCATACCTATAATCCCAGTGGCTCAGAAGGCTAAGGCAGGAGGATTAAGAGTTCAAAGCCAGCCTCAGCAAAAAGTGAGGCACTAAGTAACTCAGTGAAACCCTGTCTCTAAATAAAATATAAAATAGGGCTAGGGGTGTGGCTCAGTAGTCAAGTGCCCCTGAGTTCAATCCCTGGTACCCAAAAACAGCAATAACAATGACAAAATTTGGAATTACTAGAATTGTTTTTATCATTTTACTCCCCAGCAAAATGTGGTTGAAAAGTACTGCTGAGTCAGAATTAACCGAATATAAAATTTCATTTTATTGTATTTTATCAGGCATCAGTTGTGGTATTATCTTACATTAAGTGTCGAGCTTACTCTATAATTATTTTCCCAAAGGTTTTCCCACTTTTTCAGAAAGGTAGGACTTGTCTCTCCAGCATTATCCCTGTGCTTATAATTTATACTTTGTTCTTTTTCTGTAAATTTGTGGACTATAATATAGAGTTTAAAATGAGACTAGGAAAATATTTACTGTTTCTATTTTTTTGATTCCTAATATGGAAATTGCTTTATTAATTTTAAAAGGATATTGTTAACCTGCAATTTATTTATTTGTTTGTTTTACCAGGGATTGAACCCAGAAACGCTTACATATTTTACTTAGACACAAGCTTAGGACCTCAGCCTTCCCACGCCTCTGAGACTACAAGTATTTGCCACCATTCCCAGCTAACCACCTGTATTTTACATTTGATGTATTTATTAATTGTAGTAGTATCCGAGATAGGAAGTTTTTCTTAGAAAATGTAGAAAGGAAAGAAAACAGTTAACTCTCTTCTGCTCTTCAGCTGATTAGAAAGAAGTGTGTAACATAAGTTTTTAAATTTTATCCAAAGAGAAATGTTAGGTTTTAAATAAAAATCAGCAGATGGAAGTCCAATACCACACTGTGACACAGCACTTAAGTTTCTCTACCCTGTTATTCAGTCTTTTGACAAAACTTAAATTGGGACTTAGTTCAGTCAACAAATATTTATTGCAGATCCTGTTTCCAAGTATTGAAAAAATAGCAGTGTGAGAAAACTCTTCATGAAATGTGCATTGTAGAGGGAAGAGGGATATGGTAAATAAGCTCAGAATATGAAAGGTGAACATGGTGGAAAGATTCATCGGATGAATATTCTGGGCAGGTGTTTTAGATAATGAGATCTAAATAACAAGGAAGAGCCAAAGTGAACAGAGTATTGGGAGTTGGGGTGGAGAGGGGAGAACAATGCAAAGCCTCTGAATTAGGAAAGTTGAATCTTGGATGTTGAATTTAGAATGTTGAAGGAGGGAAGAAAAAAAAAGCAAACCAAGTTGTGGAGCTACCAATAGGGAAGGAGACAGGACAAGACAAATAGAGATCACACCATGTAGAATTCTTTGGAGTCTGAATTCTACCATAAAAGTCATAAAGAAACAAGTAAATGTTTTTAAACATAAAAATTGTATGTTTACAATTTACATTATCACAAGATCCCTCAAGCTGTTAATGGAGAGTGCACTGAATAGGGGAAAGGAAAAGACTTGGTAGGAATTACTATGTAGAGATGATAATACCCTAAACGAAGGTAGTGAGCTTTTTTTTTTTTTTTTTTTTTTGAGACACTAGACACTAGTTAGATGGTAGGATGTAAAAATGAAAAAACTAAACCTGTCTTGATGGAAGTCACAGGTTAGCTGACAAAGTATAAAACAAATGCCATAGTACATGCTTGTTTATGTTCAGGTGAGTATTGACCATGCCTGTACAAGGAAGGAATCAGAAAAGAAGGATGATCCGGCCAAAGAACTTACTGTGCACAAAGCACGTGTGCTTGTCATATTTGTAAAATGACACAAGACTTATATTGCTAAAATTAAAGTTCTATCTGAAGACCCAATAAGGTATTTGTTTGCCATCCTAATGAATCTTAACTCTTATCCTTAGCTCAAGAATAATAACAGGATAAAACATACATTTTAGAAAAATCACTAACACTTGAACTAGAAGCCAAGAGCCCAGATTAGAAATGATAATTAGTAGTAATATAATTACCCAGCTGTAATTGTATATATTTCACATTACCAGATATTTTTAAAGCTAAACTTGAAATTAGGAATCTAAAATGTCACTTTACTCCAATAAAATATTGAGATTTTTATGGCTTCTATCCAAAGTTGTGTTCCTTGGAAAGTAAATTCTGTGATTAATGTGTAGAAGGCATATTATTGGAGAGTGTTCTTGGGACCACCACCTATGGCAAGGAAAACAAGAAGAATGGAGCAGAAAGAGTAATTGCCCATATAGTCTCTAAAGGACCTCAGCCAGACCTATGGCAAGTTTGTTCACTCTCTTTAACATTACTCAGTACCTACTCTTTGCTTGGCAGTGTCTGAAGCACTCTATCTGGTGAGGCAGCATTTAGGATAGAACTAAACAAGAATGTCATGATTAAGAGCATTTAAGACTCTAGTAAAGAATTCTTAAGATGGTCATTTAACAGAAATGAATATTGTATATACACTGGTATTTAATTTAATAATAATGGCAATATTTATTGGACACTTAAATATGTGCTGAATTCTTTGTATTAACTTATTTAACCCTCATAACAGTCTTTTGAGGTAACTCCTAATACGTGCTCAGTTTTATAGATGATGAAACTAATGTTCTGAGCATTAATAATGTGCCCCAAATCTCACAGCTAATTAATGCCAGACTGGAAACAATCTGTAATGCAAGGGAATCACCATACTATACTACCTCTACATATTATATAGCAACTTTAGGAAAGATAATTTTATTATGGAACATAAAAGAAGGTATTTGATGACTTCATGAGCTGTTTCTGATTAAATCCTTTATTTGTAAACAAAACTGGATTTAAAATTAGAATATGACATTTTTTGGAATGGACATATTCTGCATGATTGAAGACTACTTTCCAGATCTTTTTTAATGCTTTGGACTGAGTATGCACTTCTGTTGATTCTTTTTTGTATTACCGAAATACATCTGAATGAGTACAATATAATAAAAGCAAAATTTTGTTCCATTGTTCTGAGAAAAACTATAGAATAATTAACCTCCATCTAATGTATCTTTTTTCCCTTTTGGAAGTTTCACCATGTATCCTAGAAATGAAGAAAAAATAAGTAAAACCCCTTCTTAAATTCAGGGTAATTTTTGAAAGCACACAGAAAGCATAATAAAAATATTTTCCATGTATAGTTTTCCCTCATTGGTGATTTCACCAGCCCAACATACAACTTAATTAATTCATCTTCTAGTTCTATAACTAGTTAACTAACTTTAGTTCTAGTTATTTCAAATTTTATAAAGGCCTCTGCCCCAAGCTGTAATTTAACAACATGCATCTGTGCTGTGCCAAAATAAATGTTTTGTTCTTTTTGTTGGTTGGTTGGTTTTGGTACTGGGGATTTAACCCTGGGGTGCTTTACCACTGAGCTATATCTCCAGCCCCTTTTTATTTGAGACAGGGCCTCGCTGAGTTGCTTAGGGCCTTGTAAAGTTGCTGAAGCTGACTTTGAACTTGCAAAACATTTTATATTAGGGTAACAAAGGAAAGCCTCATTGATGAGTCAGTTGAGCAAAGACTGAAGGATGCAAGCAAGTGAACCACATATTTACCTGGCATTAAAATGGTTGGGCATTTAAATCCTACCATAAATGTGGGTAGGATTAAAGTTTTTGTGTAATCATTTACATGCTAATGTATTTTGAGTGAGTCCTATAGAAAGGGATTTTACAGAATGCAGCACCACATAAACCAAAGAAGTGTACAATGTTTTTGTGTCTAAGAGACATTTTTTGTAAGCAATTTTTTATTTGCTTAGAATAGGAAAACCTGTTGATAATAAATAAATATCTTTCTGCTATTTGAAGTTTTCATTTAAAACCTTAAAAAGATCTGCCTAAACGTAAATACAATTATATATATGAACCTTTTGATTTGTTCCAAATAAACTTTGAGAAAACTTATTCTGCTTCATAAGAACATTTAACATTCTAATCCAATATTATCTCTTAGATGAGAAAGAAGAGGGTATCCTGGGAAGCATACTATTACCTAGTTTTCAGATAGCTATGCTAACCTCTGAGGATCACATTAATCGCAAATATGCTTTTAAGGTAAGGAAATAATTGTGCTATTTTATTCTGTGTTTGAAACTTGCATTGATTATAAAAATAGATATTGATCCACAGATTTGGAAAAAGATATTTCAGCTATGCTGTTTTTTTAATATTTAAAATATTAATTAATGATCTTATGGTTGTATGGGAGAAAGTCCCTTTAGGAAACATGCTGAAATATTCAGAGATCAGGTGCCTTCATACCTGTTTTCAATTGGTTTTAGATAAAACATGTCAAAATGCTAAATAATTCATAAATATAGATACAGATGTCCTTGTGATCATCATGCTATTCTTTCAAAGTTACTATATGCTGGAATTTTTTCATAATAAATTTGTGTTAAGAGAATTATAAAAGACAACTGGTTTTTGGCATAATATATGTGTATTTATGAATTTATAGGATAATTGCAAACATGTTCTTAGGTCTAAGTATATAATGCTCATCTGATAATTTTCCCGAGACAACTGAAGTTAAGACATTAATTCTGCCATTATTAAATACAACCAGACCTGAGATCCACTCCCATGACATTACCTACTCATCTCTGTGATTTTGCTGGTTTGTGGATCACTTTCAGAAAAAACCACTTTAATGCTAAATAGGTAAATTTTTGTTTTCAAAAACCATGCTGCATTTCTTGTCTTAATGATTATGACTAAAATAAATTCCAAAAGTTAACCTCTTTTTTTTCCCTGCCCCTTGTCCTCCCTTTTTTTCCCTCACTTTGGGTCACTTATGTTTGAAGAACTCTAAAGGGTTTTATGTAGAAATTTCATTTTAAAGAAAAAGAGGCAAGTAAGAATAATATATACTATCGTTTAACAATAAAAAGTGTTTATCTTGTTATCAATTTATTCAATTTTAAATACTTGTTTACCTCCCCCCCCCCTTGGTACCAAGAATTGAACCCAGGGGCACTTAACCACTGAGCCACATTCCCAGCCCTTTTTATTTTTTGTTTTGAGGCAGGGTCTTGCTAAGTTGCTTAGGACCTGACTAAGTTGCTGAGGCTGGCTTTGAATTTGCAGTCCTCCTGCCTCAGCCTCTCGAGCTGCTGGGCCTATTTACTTTAAAAGAATACTAAGGACCACAATTGATTTATAACTTTAGGTAATTAATGTATTATGTTATTAGGTATAGAGGTAAGAGGAGTAGAGATAGAAGGATGGGCTAAATATGGATAACCTTTTGAGAACATAATATGAGGCCTGAGGATAAAAGGGGAGTAACTTCTTATTTAAGTAAAATTTATCAGAATAAACTTATAAACAGTAAGGCCGGGCACAGTGGTACACGCCTGTGATCCCAGTGGCTCAGAGGCTGAGACAGGAGGATCGTGAGTTCAAAGCCAGCCTCAGCAATAGTGAGGCACTAAGTAACTCAGTGAGACCCTGTCTCTAAATAAAAATACAAAATAGGGCTGGGGATGTGACTCAGTGGTCATGTGCCCCTGAGTTCAATCCCCAATACCGCCCTCTCCCCCCAAAAAAAAGAAACAGTGGGTAAACTAGAGGGAAAAAATTAAATATTTTGAAGTGTTGTAACAAAATGTTATAGCAAAATGTGGATAAACACAATAACTTTATAAAACACACATGTAGGACTATATAATAGTAATACTGTTATTTGGTTAGAAGCTTAAGTTTTTTGTTGCTTGTCAATTTAGCCAATGTTTCTTGAGTTTTTTTCTGTTTGTAGGACATTTTGCATGGATTCTTATACTCTTAAAAAATACTAGAATGTTAAAATAGCAATAAAAGTAAATACACGTTTAATATATTTTTTCTGTAATTATTTGATTTAATTTTATTTTTTCTACAACAAGAAGAGTAATTGCTGTCTCAAATTCTCTCTTCCATGGTGTTTCTTCTGAATTTATGATCTGCTTTATTACTGAGTCTGTTGACACTGATGCTACTACTTATCAAAAGGGTAAGTAGTGGGTTGGGGTTGTGGCTCAGAGCACTTGCCTTGCACAGATGTGGTACTGGGTTCAGTCCTCAGCACCACATAAAAATAAATAAACAAAATAAAGATATTATATCCATGTATAACTAAAAAAATATTTTTAAAAATGTAAGTAGAAACATCATAGATAAATACTATATATACTCAAGCATAGAACTGGATTGGGTAGTTTGACATCATCTGGTAAATATTTCCACTTGACTGATAGCAAGAGTGGGTGGCCTTCTAGCATGGGCAGTGACTTTTTATTTTTTCAGAAGCCTGCTTGGACAGTTCAGTGACATTTTTGTGGCAGTTTTAATAATTTGAACAATATGGGGCATTTGATCTGTTTCTTTTGAGCTGTGTTGATATGGTTATGTCCTATATAATCAAGTGAAATTTATTCATTATGCCATTTTAATAGTGTGTTCATTAAATTTATGTGTATCCTTAAAAAAAAGTTTTCAGAAACTAATTTGGCATCGTAGGTGAAGTAGATAATCAGATCTTAGAAGAGTGAAGTATGTGGTTCAAGATTTATTCCTTTCCTTTTTTTACATTTATTTAGCACACTAACTATATACTTATTATGCTTCCCTTACTCTAATGGGCCATCTAATGGACAATGATCACAGACTTTTAGAGATGGGTGGGTTTATTGGGAGTTATATCTTTATCCCTTTTTATTTTTTATTTTGAGACAGAGAATCACAAAGTTGTCCAGGCTGGTTTCAAAATTGTGGTTTTTCTGCCATAGCCTCCTGAATAGCTAGGGTTATAAGCATGTACCACTGTGGAGGAAATTAAAAACATTTCCTCACTCCTGACTTCCACTTTCTTTCCTGCTTCAACACAGCTTTTTCTGCTCTCCATCTTTGCAAGTCAGACCAGAGATTAAGATCAATGTTTAGTGTATACACCCTGTATAGGCATCTCATCAGCATCTTTTGTTTTCCTTCTGTTTCACTGATAAAGATGCAGATGAACCATGATTAAAAAAAAAAAACAGGTGTTAGTGGTAGAGTGCTTGCTTAGCATGAATGAGGCCCTGGGTTTGTTCAATCCCTAGTAACAGAAAAAAAAAAAAAAAAAAAAGAAGAAGTAGAAAAACCTGTATCAGTTACATGAGGTTTCTTCTAACTGAAACTGTTATTTAAATTTTAACTATGAAACTAAAAAAGATAAAAATTAATAGGAAGTAATCATTTTTAATCATTTATAAATCTTTTTTATTTTAGTTTGTGTATAGATGTCTGCTAAGACTTCTACAAAGTAACAGCAGCTTTTGAGAACTAAACAAGTTGTTAACACCAGAGGGAAATTTTGTTGCTAGTTGCTCATTATTCTTAAGTGACTTGCAGTAGTGAAAATTGCTAGAGATGTATACATGGAAAAGACAGCACTAAATGCTTCATTTCGTAACATTCTTTCCTTCCTAACTCCTTTTTTTTTTAATTTTTAGAGAACACACAACTAAAAGGAAAAATAAGAGAAAAATAATCTCTTTTTCAACATTACTACTTATAGTTTTTCTTAAATTACTTTATATCACATACAAAAGAAGTCTACTTTTCTTTGAAATAAAATAGTAATGATCTAGGTAAGGAACCACTTACCTTTTTTTTCTTTTTCTTTTACAGGATTACATATTTTTATGATAAAATGGTCGTATCATTTTCAATCAGGCAGCCCATCCAAACATGCGGACATATTATTTCTGCACTGATACAGGAAAGGAAATAGAGTTGTAGATGAAAACCATGTTAGATGCTGCCCTTGTACAGACAGAACCTGTGAAAAGGTAAAAGCCTATAAGGAAAATAACAGTGATTTCCACTTTCATTTTATTCCATACCTTGCAAGTATTCATTATCATATACATATCATTTTAGTAGTCATGATATAAAATCAGTTTTCCCTCAGAAAGCAAGGATTAATTCATGTTTATATTAAGTTAATATGACTTTTGTTTAAGATACCACGTACATTTTTATTTCACCTTTCCTCTTTACTCATTTTCACCTATCAGTGTACTGGGGTGAATCTAGAATCCTAACATTCAAACTGAATGTTCTTTCTTCTTACAGAATTACCTTTAATTTCCGGTAAGTACATTTTTAATTGTTATTTTAAAGCTACACAGAATTTTTATCCTTCAAGACAGTGTTTTTTAAAAGATCCTAAATCTTAGGAGAGAATTTATTGTCATGAAGTTAATTTGTTTTTATGTTTATTTTGAAGTTTAAAAAATTATAATAAGAAATTTGAGGAATTTTATTTAACATTTTCTAGTGAATTCTGATTATTTTATGATGAATATTTCCAGAAAATAGTTCATCAAGCATTTAAATTATTTCTAAATATATCCACTTCTTAATTAATTGTACCTTCTTTCTTTTAAAACTCCATTACTCAGATTCCTTCATAATATAGGTATGTACTATTAAAATTGATCTAAGAATGGTTTCTCTTTCCTGCTTGAAGAAATGAATCATTTTTAATACTCAACTATATTAAAAACTAGTCAAAATAAATCTGTTTCTCAAACAACACAAATAGAAGCTGAATAAATGTACTTTTAAAAATAAGTGTTTATATATATTCCTATATTTTTAAAAAGATTTATAATACAATTAAGTTTTGTTTCTAGTCAGTGATAATTGAATACATTTATTTATTTGATAGCAGGGATTGAACCCAGGGGCTCTTAACCACTGAGCCACATCCCCAGTCTTGCCAAGTTTCTTAAGGCCATGCTAAGTTTCTGAGACTGGGTTTGAACTTGAGATCCTCCTGCCTCAGCCTCATGAGTCACTGGGATTATAGGCATGCACCACCAGCCTGGCCCATTATTTTCATTTTATATGTCTTATTGTATTTGTGTGTGTGTATTGTTTTCGTTTTGTTTGTAAACTTCATTTTGTATTGGGTTTTGAAGATCTAACCCAGAGGCTTTTACATAATAAACATAATAAACAAGCACTCCATCACTGAGGTATACTCCCAAACCTACATTTTAATTTTTGATCCACATAACAGTAATTATAAATATTTTGGGGAAACAGTGTTACATTTCAAAACATGTATATAGTCCCATCTATGTATGATATATCAAAGTATATAAGTGCATTCTATTGTCATGTATAACTAATTAAAACAAATAAAAAATTTTAAAAAATATATAGTGTGTGATGATCATATCAGGCATACCTGTTACCTGATATGTATTTCTTTTATTAGAAGCATTCAAAATCCTCTCTACTAGTTATTTTTAAATATTCAGTTAATTAGTATCAACTATACTTATGGTAGTTATTCCTCCTCTCCAGCTGCACACCTGGACCCATTTCCATCCTCGCTCCATCCTTTCCCCTTCACACTTTTCCATACTTTGATAATCACTATTATGTTCTCTACTTCTTTAAACATTTTAGGTTTCATATGTAAGTGAGAACATTTTTGTCTTTCTATACTTTGCTTCTCTTTTTTCACTTAATGATCTTTGGTTCATCCATGTCACAGCAAATGACAGAGTTACTGTCTTTCATTGCTGAATAATTATATACCATTGTGTGTGTGTGTGTGTGTGTGTGTGTATCTAAATTATTTCTAAATATATCCACTTCTTAATTTATATATACTATATAATATATATACTATTTTTTGTGTGTATATACCTATACACACATACGCATGTATATATATCACACATGGATATGTCACATTTTCTTTATCCATTCATTCATCAGTGAACACCCAGATTGATTTCATATTTTGATTATTGTGGACAATATTGTTTATTGTCATGCAGTAAGCATGAAAATGCAGATGTGTCTTTGAAATACTGATTTTAGTTCCTTTGGATATAGTCCCAGTAGTGGAATTTCTAGATCAGATGGCAATTCTATTTTTAGTTTTTTGAGGAACCTTCATACCTTTTCCATAATGGCTGTACTAACTTTTGCTATATTTTCTGTCATAGCTTAAATGTTATTCTTTTAAATTAGATCATGAGTTTTGCATTAGATAATGAGTTTTGCATTATTTATGTGATCTTAGCATAGTTTTCTGAGTCACTTTTTCATTTACAGAGAAGTCATCTTATGTGTCTTTTACCTGATATCCTCAATGAAAAATCTTTAGGAAAAGCACATGGTCCTAATTTAGAGGAATAACTTTAGATAGATAGACTAGAAATGAAGAGATTTGAATTTTTTTAAGGATAGCCACATAGTATTACATGCCTGTAATCCCAGCAACTCAGAAGGTTGAGGCAAGAGGTTTACAGGTTTGAGGCCAGTCTCAGCAACTTAACAGGGCTCTGAGAAACTTATTGAGAACTTGTCTTAAAATTTAAAAATATAAAGAGCTGAGAATATAGCTCAGTGGTAAAGCACCCCCTGTCTTCAATCCCCAATATTAAAAAAAAATTAAGATATTTAATATTCAGTGCTAATTCCCCACTGCCCAAAATTCAGCAAGGATAAATTTGCTTTGTGTGGAAGTTTTTCTAATAATATTACCCTGCAAGGGAAAGAAGATCCCTAGTATATCTTAGTAAACTTTTCCTATTTCTGTTATTGATTCCAATCTGGAAGCTGTGGTTTATATCTAACTTAAATATGAAGGTAGGCTATAACTTACTCCAAGAAAACTTATTGCATTTCTTTTCATTTTGTCCTTAACCACTGTTTCCCAAACTGTCTGTAGATATCTATATCTATATATCTTTATAGTTAGAATGTAGACATATGTATGCGGGTATATTATATTTTCCACACATCACAAAACTTGGTAGCAAAAAACATGTAGGCTCAATTAGGAATATTATTATATATATTGAAATGTGGAAGGCCAGGCAGAATGATTTATGTTGCAATCCCAGCATCTTTTGGGAGGCTGAGGCAGAAAAATTCCAAATTCAAGGCCAGCCTGGGCAACCTAGTAAGACCCTTTCTCAAAACAAAATGTAAAAGGAATTTGGGGATTAGCTTACTGGTAGAGTACCCATGAAAAGAAACATGAAAGTTAGCCAGTTCCTGAGAGTCCTCCCTGAATGGCATGATATTGGCAGCTTGATACAAATTCAGGTACTCAGCTTGATCTTGTCAGAGCATGGATATGATAGGCTCAGAAAAACTGATTTTCATCAAAAAGACCTAGAGATAGCAACTGGAATGGTTGGTAGTGACCTCTCAAGTGGCCCAGACACATGCTGTGAATTACCACGTTCTTTGGTTGGGCAAATGGACAGAAAATATCAGATTCTAATCCAGAATTGTTTGATAAGAACACTTCTGGTCCTAAGGGATGTGCCTGCCACTGATTAATTCATCTGGTTCTCATAACAGCCTTCTAATCTTGGTACTGCAGTTAAACCCATTTCCAAAGACAAATTTGAGGCAAGTTTCTGTACCTTGCCCAAAGACAGCTGGTCACTGACAGAATTGTTACTGAAAACAATGTAGTCTGTCTCCACAAGCTCTAAAACCATGCTTATGTATTCTTGCACACAAAGAGCTAGTCTTACAGTTTAGATCTATGATAGCATCAGGCTGTGATTTCCTATTGCAGCTATTCCTACTAGCACTCATGTTTGTCTCATGGGAAAGCTAACCATCATGGCTGGGAGCCATGTTTATTTCAAGTGACTGACTACAATGTTGTTGTTTTAACTGTTAAAAGAAATCTCATTTGCTTTATTTCCAGATTTCTAATGGTGGGGGCACACACCACTTTTTATCCTCTAGTGCTTTTTACTTATGATTTCTTCTTCCCCTCTCTGTTTATATATTTTGGTGATGTGCTTGAATGTTAATACCACAGCTTTAAGGATTTGAGCAGACTTGTCCTCTGTGACTCTTTTGGGGTATATTTGCTTTTTTTTTATGAAGTCAGATTTTTCCTAGATTGAACCCCAAGTATAACACCTGCCTTATTTCATCTGATTTACTATGATTTTTTTTTTCTCTAATTTCAGAGTGGACAAGATTACATCCGAAAGTATACCAACTAAAGAAACCAATAACATTCCCAACCATAGAGTGCTAATTAAACCAGAGGCCCAAAACAACCAAAAAAACAAGGAAATAGGCAAAATTGAAGAAAAAAGGGCATTAGAAGCTGAAAAATACGGATTTCAGAAGGATGGTCAAGATAGACCTTTGACAAAAATTAATACTGTAAAGTTAAATTCTTTGCCATCTGAATATGAAAGTGGGTCATCATGCCTAGCCCAGACTGCACACTACAGACAAGTCAATATGAATAGTTCAGAGAACAAGATAGTCAATGTCAGCCTAGCAGATCTTAGAGGAGGAAATCACCCAAATACAGGGCCTTTGCACACAGAGGCTGATCGAGTCATACAAAGAACAAATTCAATGCAACAGTTGGAACAATGGATTAAAATCCAGAAAGGAAGGGGACATGAAGAAGAAACCAGAGGGTAAGTGTCTTATTATTCAGAATTCAGGTTTCTTTGACGTTTTGTTGGTGGAGACTGGTTTCTGAGCTACTACTTGAAAGTATTAGATATTATAGTTTGGTCTTTTGCTCATAGTGATCAGATGTAAATATTTTTTTTCTGTTCTTCATTGTGCCATCATTTCGTTTTGCTGGTAGCAAGGGGTTATCCTTCCAGGTCCAGTACAAGGAAAGACTTATAACTTGTAGGTAAAGGTCAAGTTTTGGGTGATGGAGAGACCAAGCCCAATTCTCACCTTGACCCTCTGCCACTATCTCCTCCTCCTAGAATTCTGAACTATGGCTAGTTAATAGAGATTTGTCTCTAACTTCCCCACTTCCCTAATATGACTCTCCTTCCTTATGAGCTTCTACATCCTAGTGCTAATCTGACTTTCCTTCTTTATCCTAGTGCAATGTAAGGAGATCTTGAGACAAATATCATGGAGATAATTAAGTTTTATTATTTTCTAATTCTCAAGACTCATTCCTGGACTTTCTTTAATAAATCAGAAGGCACATGACTAAGTATTAATTTTTTTCCTCTAGTCAGGTATGGTGGCATACACCTTAATCCCAGTGACTTGAAAGTCTGGGGCAGAAGGATCACAAGTTAAAGACCTGCCTAGGCAATTGAGCAAGACCTTGTCTCAAAATAAGAAGTTCTAGAGATGTACCTCAGAGGTATACACACACACACACAAAAAAAAAAAAAAAAAAAATTTTTTTTTGTGGTTCCTGTGAGTCTGTATCTCCAAAGAGATACAGACTGAACTTGAATATAGTTGGAAATGGCATCAGTATATCAAAATAATTAAAAGTAAGTGTGAAGGGCTAGGGATATAGCCCAGTTTGTAGAGTGCTTGCCTCACATTCACAAGGCCCTGGTTTCAATCCCCAGTGCCACACACACACACACAAAAGTAAAAAGTATAAGAATTCACTGGGGAGGCTAAATAAAAAAAGATTTTTAAGGAAAAGCCTGAAAGGAATAATAGATGGGGAGCCTGAACAATAACACCACTGATACAGACCAGAGGAAGTAGAGGAAAAATAAGTACCTTTTGATGGGAAAATTTTACATTTTATTTTATTTTTTTTATTATTGGTTGTTCAAGACATTACATAGTTCTTGACATATCATATTTCATACATTTGATTCAAGTGGGTTATGAACTCCCATTTTTACCCCGTATACAGATTGCAGAATCACATCGGTTATACATCCACGTTTTTAGATATTGCCATACTAGTGTCTGTTGTATTCTGTTGCCTTTCCTATCCTCTACTATCCCCCCTCCCCTCCCATCTTCTCTCTCTACCCCATCTACTGTAATTCATTTCTCTCCCTTTCCCCTCACTTCCTCTTATATGTAATTTTGTATAACAATGAGGGTCTCCTTCCATTTCCATGCAATTTCCCTTCTCTCTCCCTTTCCCTCCCACCTCTCCTCCCTGTTTAATGTTAATCTTCTTCTCATGCTCTTCCTCCCTGCTCTGTTCTTAGTTGCTTTCCTTATATCAAAGAAGACATTCAGCATTTGTTTTTTAGGGATTGGCTAACTTCACTTAGCATAATCTGCTCTAATGCCATCCATTTCCCTGCAAATGCCATGATTTTGTCATTTTTTAGTGCAGAGTAATATAAATGCCACATTTTTTTATCCATTCATCTATTGAAGGGCATCTAGGTTGGTTCCACAGTCTAGCTATTGTGAATTGTGCTGCTATGAACATCGATGTAGCAGTATTCCTATAGTAGGCTCTTTTAAGGTCTTTAGGGAATAGTCCAAGAAGGGGAATAGCTGGGTCAAATGGTGGTTCCATTCCCAGCTTTCCAAGGAATCTCCATACTGCTTTCCAAATTGGCCKYACCAATTTGCAGTCCCACCAGCARTGTACAAGWGTACCCTTTTCYCYACATCCTCGMCAGCACTTGTTGTTGTTTGACTTCATARTGGCTGCCAATCTTACTGGAGTGAGATGGTATCTTAGGGTGGTTTTGATTCGCATTTCTCTGACTGCTAGAGATGGTGAGCATTTTTTCATGTATTTGTTGATTGATTGTATGTCCTCCTCAGAGAGAGAGAGAGAGAGAGAGAGAGAAAATTTTTAATATTTATTTTTTAGTTTTCAGCGGACACAACATCTTTGTTTATATGTGGTGCTGAGGATCGAACCCAGGCCGCACACGTGCCAGGCGAGCACGCTACCACTTGAGCCATATCCCCAGCCCAAAATTTTACATTTTAAAGAGGGCATTTTAGAGTGAGTCCTAAGCACCTTAGCAAGACCCTGTCTCAAAATAAAAAAGGGCTGAGGATATAGCTCAGTGGTAAAGCACTCCTGGGTTCAAACCCCAGTACCCCCACACACAAAAAAAAAATTAAAGAAATAAAATCAAAAAGTAAATTTTAATTCTTAAAAGTACTTTATTATTCTACTAAACATAAAAATTAACTGCATAGTTACTTTAACTCTGAGCAGTAGAAAACCAGGAAACAATGACTTAAATGATGCTTTGGGATTTTGTTAATTGAATGAAGATTATTTTAACAGTGAAATTTCTGAGGTGTAAGAATATTCTTCCAGTTTTCCACAATTGTCAGAAGTCTCTTTTCTTCTACAAGTGTAGCTCAAAAGCCTGGGTACACTTGGCTTCCTCTATTATTTCCTACAATGATGCAAATATATCCTCTATATGATACATAGTTGACCTGTTTGTTTGTTTGTTTTTTTAACACTCTTTGTTCTCTTTTCTAATTTTCCCAAGGGAGAATTGTGAAAAATAGCTGCTATTTCAAAAACATAATTTAGCAGGTCGATTATACAACATAATGATTATAGTTTTAGTAATGTATTTGTATGTATGAAAATTGCTGAAAGAGATTTTCAGTGTTTTCACTACCAAAAAAAAAACATGAGGTTATATATATATATTAATTTACTTTATTTAGCAATTTGACATTATATACATATTTTAAAGCATCATGTTGTATATGAGAAATGTATGCAATTTTTGTCAATTTGTAAAAAAAAGAAAAGAGTGAGCAATGCTCAAACTGCACACTAAAAACAAAAGAGAGAATATTTTTAACATACCAGATTGGTCAAAATTATAAATAAGTGAATTGATTAATATATAAATGTATAAATAAAAGTTAATTCTTAAATGTTGGATAAAATGACAAAATGAATAAGTTAAATAAAGATTAGAAAAGAAGCAAGAAATAGTTCTGGGGAAGAAAATTGAAAGGTATGTGGAATTATTTGGTAAAATAATCACTTTCAAGAAAATAATAAAAATTACAATCAGAATATTTGCTGAATCTCTAGCCAAGTTAAATCTCACATCAAAGAATAATCACTTTCCCTTAAATAAATTAATTATTTCTGTAGTTTAAAAGGGTATAAAAAGATTCAGCAAGTATTTGGAAATTAGGTTTTTGCTTTTGTTAAGTATAAATGTTAATTTTAAGTCCCTTGATAAATATAATTAATGTTTATAAAGTCTTTCTGTGACTGTTTTCAGTGCACATCGATGGCTTGTAAAGGGTGGTCTTAAATTATTTTAAGCTAAGGCTCTGGATTCTCTCATCTTTGGGTTCATAGTGATGCCAATTTCCATAAATGCTGTTAATTAGATATTCTTTTGAAATAACTAGAATCTATTTTGGATCTTTGAAAAATATCTTCTACATTATTAAATAAACCTTATCATTTAAAAGGTGTCATGGTACTTTTTATTGGTAGAAAGAAGCAAAATTGTAATTCTTGGAATAATTCATTTTTCAACCTTATGAAAAGGTTTCTTTTATTATTAAAGTCCTGATAAAAAGATTAAAAGGTTTAATATTTAGTCAAATGATAGGTCCCTGTGTCCGTGAACAAAGCTTTAAAGTTTCTTTGTGAGTAGCAGGCACTGTTAAGATGCATGGTGCCTTAAGCCATTATTCTGCATGGCATAATCACAGGGACAGGGTTTTCATGGTGTCTGACAGGCAGCTGCTGGTGAATAAGCCAAGAAACCTGATGAAGGAGCTTACAGTATTCATTTCTTAAGCTTTCACTTAAAAGTAAAACACACTTTGCTTAATTTGAATTTCTTTGGGGGGAAATTACTGAAGGAAATGTAGTTTTTGAAAAACAAGTCTCCAAATACAAGAAAGTGTATGGGACAAAAATGATTTTACTTAGTAATAACTTAATTTTCTACCAAAAGTCCCCCAAAAGTGATTCCAAAGATGGCAGAAACCCTTTTAAACTTAATAATTATTAATTAACCACACTAACTTGAAAAAAACAAAAACATGTTGATGATCATATGATGGTTTGACAGTTCAAGTTTAATGTACATTGTGTACAACAGAATCCAGCTCACACATTATGAATGCTTCAACACTGACAGAGGTGTTTGGTTTAATGAGACTTTCTGAACTGTAATTTATACATTGATTTAGAGATAGTTTTTCCTATGTTTTAGGTTGGCAGTGTATGTCCCTTCATTATGAATACATTTTCATGATATAGTACATGCTTAATTTACACTCATTTGCATGTTTTGAGGCTTTTACAGTATTTCTTAAATTTGATGAATGACCAAATAATCCTGCTTTAATACAAGGGCAGTCTCTTGGATGGAATCAACTTCCCTTGACTGCATTTTTTTTTATCTTTACTATGCTGTTCCCCCACTGTCTTAGCATTCTCAAAGCAATTGTTGTAACTCATCTAAGTATTTAGCAAAAAAGCAAGAATCAAAACTTTGTTCTAGTAATTTTTTGATCAACCATTTTTTCCTGCATTACTGTTTATCCCCCATGTTGCTATATTTTTCAATCTTATCTGCTTTGTGGGTTCCTAAACCCACAAAGAAAAGTTGTACTTATTTAACATGAGACTTTGTCTTTGTATAAAAGTAATATATATATATATATATTATACCCATTGTTAGCATGCTTCAGATCTCAATTTATTACACCTGATCACAATGGTATTTTTTTACTATAATATTTTAATACTTATGCATTGTTACTGATATAAAGTTTTTGTATCAAAAGGACTTTAGCATTCAGATTATCAGCCAGGGATTTCCAGATTATTAAAATTGTGGTCAGGTAATTTACACATTAGTTTTTTTTACCCTTTGTGATTTGTGAAATTACCAACATCTGTGACATTTTAATGACCAGTAGGAGGCAGCAAAGCACGCAGGTGTGCATGCATAATTCCAAAGTATATTCTATGGTGAAAATATAATAATTAGGAGACATTTATTAAGTAAACATTTAAAGAAGTGATAAAGAAACCTGGGTTCATGGAGTCCCAACAACCCCACTATGATGTTTATTAGTTCATTAAAGTAGATTGATTTTTACATTAAGATATAAACGTATACCCATGGAGATGGTAGCATATGGACCTTTGTTGTTTGTTTGTGTTTTTTTGGTGGTGCTGAGGATGACCCTAGGGCCTCATGCATGCCAGGCAAGTGCTCTACCACCGAGCCATATCCCTAGCCCCTAATATGGACATTCTTAATTTACTTTGGGGTGGGAAATGGGGGTACGAGGGATTGAACTCAGGGACACTCAACCACTGAGCCATATCCCCAGCCCTATTTTGTATTTCATTTAGAGGCAGGGTCTCACTGAGTTGCTTAGTGCCTCACTTTGTGCTGAGGCTGCCTTTGAACTCGTGATCCTCCTACCTTTGCCTCCTGAGCTTCTGAGGTTACAGGCGTGTGCCACCAAACCCAGCTATAATTTAATTTTTTTTAATTTAAATTTTTTTCTGTGGTTGGTGATTATAAAGACTGTTTGTACCTAGAATCTGAATTTTAACCTTACATGTCTCTGAAAATACTGGGGAAACAATATACTTCATGTAGAATTTTTAGTTAACTTTAAAATTCATTTCATATATTTGACCTACCGTGAGATTAGCACAGAAATAATTTTGACAAACATCATCAAAATTTTGTGAGTGGTTAATTGGAATTTTATTATTTCATTTTGAATACTGCAATGACATTCTGGGTTTATTAGTAATGTGCAATTAGGTATTCAATTCTAAGAATTTGCATTTTAAAGGAATTATATTTTATTTTTAATGTACATTAGTTTCTAGAGTACTTTAAAGCAAAACTCTCCCAAAATATTGATATCATCTTGAAGTAGAATATTGATTACTATGTTGGAAACATTGCAGAATTCTTAAGATTGTAGTTTGCTTTGTCTTTAAATAATGAAATTCTGATCTGTAGTCTAAAATCATTTCTAATTTTCAAGTTAGGGAAGTTATAAAGAGTTACTACTTCAGGCCACAAATGCACTTCTGTTCTTCCTCCCATAATCAGCCATGCATTCCAAAGGAAAAATTACAACAGAATAGTCAACTACTTTGTAATGGAATAATTCATTACCTATTTTTATGCTTCATAAGTACAACTTGAAAACTTGCATATTTGAATACATTTGTACACAGAAATCCTATTCAGCTTTTCTGATGAGATGTATAGAAATAAGGTTCTGGGAGTTTATTTATGTAAAAATAAATAAAATGTAGGGGTACAATTGAGATTAGTTTCTGAACATTCTTATTTCTCAAATGAAGTATAGTAAATATTCTTTTTTTTAAAGCCAAACTGTAAATTTTGTGAAAGTAGTAGTCCTTTTATGTAGTTGCTATAGACATAAATGCTATTTATTTAAAATTGAATTTCATCAATCTTTTTTGTTTGTTTGTTTATTTCCTGGTACTGGTGGATCAAACCCAGGGCCTTTCATCTGCTAGGCAGTGTTAGTGCACTAACACTAAGCTGTATCCTCAGACCAGTATTTTGAGTCTTTAAAAAATATACTAAATAGTTTACTTACCAGAAAAAAAGAAATGTACTATAATTTGGAATTTGTAAACAACTTTCTCCTTCATTTTTATGTTTCAATTATTTTCTATTTTAGAGTAATTTCTTACCAAACTTTACCAAGAAATATGCCAAGCCACAGAACCCAGATTATGGCCCGCTACCCTGAGGGTTATAGAACACTCCCAAGAAACAGCAAGACCAGGCCTGAAAGTATCTGCAGTGTGACCCCTTCCAGTCATGACAAGACAGTAGGAGCTGGAGCAGAAGAGAAACGGAGGTCGATGAGAGATGACACTATGTGGCAGCTCTACGAATGGCAACAGCGTCAGTTCTATAATAAGCAGAGCACCCTTCCTCGACACAGTTCTTTGAGCAGTCCTAAAACCATGGTTAATATTTCTGACCAAACAATGCACTCTATTCCCACATCACCTTCCCATGGTTCAATAGCTGTTTACCAGGGTTACTCCCCTCAGCGAACTTATAGATCAGAAGTATCTTCACCAATTCAGAGAGGAGATATGACAGCAGACCTTAGACACAGGGGTCATTACCCTAAGGTAAAATGTGTTCTAATATTGTGTTAACTCACTATTTAATAGATGTTATGTTTTCTTTCTAATATGCTCTTTAAAATGTGAGAGGCAGGAAATTAGGGAGAAAAGAAAGACTGTTCTTATGTATAAAATCTAAGTTGGCAATGCTTCAGAACTCTTAATACCATAGAAACAATTCTTTCAAGCATTATGCATTCTTCTCTGTCTGATAGCATATCTCATCAGCTCTCTGTGTTAAAGACAACGTGTATTTTTATTTACTCTTTACACACTTGGGAATTCTTCTTCCCTTGGGACAAGCCAAATACCTGTCCTTTTCTGGTATACCTGCAGTCTTGAATCTAGCTTGTCCTGTTTTTTTACTAGGATTTACCTTCTAACCACTTGACTGGCATGTTGAGAACTCCTTATATACCTAACTGAACATTAGAGACTACCAATATTTAATAATATGCACCTTTAAAAATTAACATACAGGTAGAGATCATGGTTTGGTTTTTTTGTTTGTTTGTTTTTGTTTGTGGTGCTGGGGAATAAACCCAGGACCTTGCACATACTAGGCAAGTGCTGTACCATTGAACTATATCCCCAGCCCCATAAATCATTTTTAATTTGTACCTTAAGTTAGTTGCTTAGTGGATTACTTGATAATTTTTTAAATATTTTTAGTTGAAAACTAATATTTTTAGTTATAGATAGACACAGTACCTTTATTTATTTATTTTTGTGGTGCTAAGAATCGAACCCAGTGCCTTACACACATGCTAGGGAAATGCTCTACCACCGAGCCAAAACCACAGTCCCTATTTGAAGTTAATTTAGTACTTTGTGTCAATCATCTTTGAATAATGCCAAAGCAGATGTTGTAATGAGTTAGCCATTATAAATTCAGTTCCCTAATGTCAATCCTAAAATAAAAAGAATGTCCTTTTACTTCTAATTCCTAAAAAATTTCCTACACCATTTTAAAATGTATCTTCTTACCTTGAGACAGGCCAAATACTGCAGTTACATTATTGAACAAAATATTTACTTGCTATTTCCATAAACATTTGTTGGAAATTACTAAAGCAATCAGGAATTTTATTTTGAAGAAAGCTTGAAGGATGGGAATATAGTTCAAAGGTAGAGTGCTTAACTAGTGTACATGAGGCCCTGAGGTTTGTTTAGTCCTTAGCACCACAAAAAAACAGTGAGGGGGAGCCTAAAGTTTGCCTTTAAAAGCCTCACTTTAAACTCATTTAACAAATTTTATTGTTTTGGCACTTTGTACATCCAAAGACTAAATCATAATAGATAAAAATAGTATCAATATACAAGAAAAATCTGATTTAATACAGTTTAATGTAAGCATTTAAAGTGGCTAAATTATATGCTCTCCTGATTTTCAGTAGTTTCATGTTCTTGGCCAAATACATCACTTGTTTCAGTAATAAATACACTATCTGTCCAGTTCCCAGAACAACTGAGTATCTACTGTTGCAACTTCTAATAAATTTGTTCAACATTGCCAAATTTTTCTTTGATACTATCCTTTTCATCTTCCTTGGAGTACATCACTACTTCTCAAAAGTGTAGTCCATGAACCGTGAAGGACAGAGTCCCTAAACATCTCCACAGCCCTTCCAGGGAGTGTATAAACTCAAAACTATCTTTATAGTAGTAAGGCATTATTCATTATATTACCATTTGCACTAATAGCGAAACAGTGAATCAAGATTGTGTCCCCAAACTATACTGATGGTCGTGGTAGTGTGCTTCGTTGCTACACACTTGGAATAAAAAATAAAATAGCAAGTTAAGATTCCCGTTGATGAAATAGTGAGAAACTATCTTATGGAATCTTAATTAACCTGTCACTACATATCTTTTTAATCTACATGTGATGAAATGGGAATACGCATAAACCATTTCTGTTGCATACCATGACATTATTTGAGTTGCAAGCTAAGCTAGCTCCTTTTTTGTAGAACACCATTTTTATTTGAACAAAAGACAGGTATGATTATTCAGATTGGTATTTGACAGATACATTTAAAGTGAAATGTAAGCCTGTTATTTCAAAGAAAACAACTGACAGTATTTGTCCCTGATGAAAATATTTGAGTGTTTAAGAAAAAAATCAGATTTTTGTGTATCTGCCACTCTGAGCTTAATATCTTCCCAGAGCTTAAAGATTGATGGTGATATTAATAAATGTGTAATTCAGAAATGTGTCAATGTTGGAAACATTGTATAGCTCACTGAACCAATATTTTCCAGATGACTGCTGTTTCATATTACCAAATCATGTTTGGGTGAAGGTTAAAGTGCAAATAGATCAATGGTTTTCAAAACTTCATTGATATGGATTTAGATACCACTCTGCAATTAAACTTTAAAAATTTGAGTAAAGTGTCACTTTTTTTTAGCTTTAATAGTGGAAAAGATGAATATCTACAGTTATTAAAGTAAAAACTATTAAAGTTCTCCCTTTTCCAACTGCATGGATCCAGGACAGATTTTTTTTCACATGCTTTCACTAAGATATTTTTACAACAGACTGCAAATATGAATGCAGAAGCAAATATGAGATTCCAGCCAGACATTGAATTTGCAAAACTGTATATATAATATATTCTTAAGATTATAAAGGGGTCCCCAGATCAAAGAGTTTAATTGCTGAATCAGACTACATAGATGCACTCTGTTCATCAGCATCTGTATTTTAGTGAAACAAGAAGTGTTAGTATCTTCCGTCACAAGCACTAATAGCGATTTTTAATTGATATTTCATAATATAAATTAAAGTTTCTCATCAGTGATATTCATCAAAAAAAGCTTCACCACAGAATCATTTGTACCTTTATTTTCCTAGCATGTCTATGTGCCTGACAGAAGATCAATGCCAGCTGGCCTAACTTTACAGTCTGTTAGTCCCCAGAGCCTCCAAGGCAAAACGGTGAGTGTGATATCTTTATTTACCATATTATGTTTTATTTATTGTATATGCTACTCAGGAAGGCACATATCTGACATAGTTTTTAAGTTTTAAATTTTCAGAAATATCTCCCAAAGAAAAACCATTACTGCTTTTGTGGAAGAGATTCCACATCAGAGGAATTTGGAATTATGTAATCATTTCAGTATGTTAATGGACTCCTTTCCTTTAATGTCTGACAGCCTAAATAAAAGATGATATTTTAAAATTTATTGGATAACATAGATGGGTTTCTTTGATTTGTTAATTTCCTTATCCTCAGAACGGAAGTTGGAGTAATCATTAGTGGAACAGATCCATTAAGCAACCATTTGTAGTCAACTACAGACCCTCTAAGAAATTTTTCCTATGAATTTTGGTATAAGTTAACTACTTGGGAGCCAAAAATAACTAATTTACACAGAGAGAGAAAGACTATAAGAATACTATAAGAATAATACATTTTATTATCAGTATTATAGTCAGATTTGGAAGGGTTTTTATTACCACAGCATTACTGTTCTTCAAAGAGAAAAGATTTTTTTTAATCACTTCAGTTCATTTAATTAGCATTCTTTTATCAGGGAAACTGTCTTATTAGATCATCTTAATTTCTATGAAGATATGATTTTAGTGCCTAAATGGTTGTTTATTAGTCTCTTCCTGCAGTAATCAAAACAAATTTATTTTATGTTTTTATACATATTGCCTTGTTTCACCTTTTGTATGTTTAAATATAAGGAAATCATTCCTGGCTTTAAACTACCTGAAGTTTATTATTAAAGAATATAAATATTTTTTGGTTAAACCCCAAAACTTTTAAATGTTGGTATTTATAAATATTAAATTATCTGACAAAGAAACAGACATGAATCATAAAATAAAGGATAAACAACATATATTTTCTTTCCTGCCTTGCTCCCTCTAGAGGATATAGACCACCTCTCCTACTTTTTTCCCAATCAAATATGCCTTTTTATTTGACCTCAATTTAATTATATAGCAAACTTATTGGGATATTTTATCATTTTGAAAATGTTCTCATCTTTTTAGTTTCATAAATAATAAATGAGAGGTTCAAAATTTCTTGTTTATGTATTCCTGTCAAATATCACTCTGGGTTTTAGAATCTGTGCAGCCGTTCTTCCAACCCACTATCTCCCTGACAGGATTTCAAGATCTTGGCCTGATGATCATGAGGCAAGAACTGTCTCAGAATCATGAGTTTATAAGATGTTGCTGGCTTTAAAATAAATTGGGCTATTCTTTTTCACTTAACATAGTTTCTTCAATTCACAGAAACTAAACATTTGTTGACTTTTTATTTTTTCATATTGTTTTTGACAACTTAATACCATAAAAACTATTGTCTTGCCTCTCTGGAGTACCCAGTTTTATCTAAAGAATCCAGTAGGAGTTGTAGTTTACTTCTATTGACACTTACCATTTGAAGGCAGTAATATTTAATGTACTTCCAAATAACAGTTAAATACTTTCTGTCTCTAAAAAAGGATTATATAGAAAATATAGAGCAACCACAAATTAACAGAACAGAAAAGAGCTAATGTAATGCTGTGATGTAAACAATGCAAATCAATCTTGGAAATACCTTTGGCCTGGATAGGAGTGCATTGTAGCACTTTAGAAGAGACTGCCTCTCTCCTACCTGCTGTTTTTAATCATAACAAAGCTAAGAGAAGCACCAAATAATACTTAATGGCCTGTGAGATCACCAGTGCCCATACTTTTACAGCATTTCTAACAAAGAAAAATAGAATGGCATGTTAAGGAATTTCATTTACCATTGAAATTTACTCTCCTATTGCTCTTAGTAACCATTCAGGAATGCAAAAGACTCTGTGCTTTCCCTAATATGAAAGAAGTGGTTATGTGCCCTTGGAAACTTTTTTTTTTTAATCTTTGAAAAATATACTTGTTTTGGGCCAGACGCAGTGGCACACGCCTATAATCCCAGTGGTTCAGGAGGCTGAGGCAGCAAGATCTCAAGTTCAAAGCCAGCCTCAGCAAAAGTGAGGTGCTAAACCACTCAGTGAGACCCTGTCTCAAAAAAATATATAGATATAGATATAGATATAGATATATACACACACGTAAAAAAAATAGGGCTTGGGGATGGGGCTCAGTGATTAAGTGCCCTTGAGTTCAATCCCTGGTACCAAAATATATATATACTTGTTTTGGTATTTTAAATGCTATGAAAGCACTAATGGTAACATAACAAAATATAACGGGAAAGTAATTAATAAACCCAGGTACTGAGTTTTATATTGTGAAAATATATCCAAGTTTTAAATTAATTTGAATTTTTTTTTATTTGCCTTCTATTCTCTAAAATGGTGTGTTGGACATGCAGGTATTGTTCTATTGCTAGAAAATCTTAGGTATAATTTTTATAAATATCTTAATAATCTTTTAATAACTCTTGTATACGACCCTTTATTAATGGTATTGTGCTTTTTTTTATACTTAGCATTTAGATGTTCTCTCATACGTTGTGAGAAAATGCCTTAATATACTGTTGTTTTGCTGTAAAGTAACACTATTCCTTCTATTTCTCTAGATATCTATGCATTTATGTAGGACCTATCATCATAGTGCCTAGGCACTATGTTTGATGTCAACCATAAGAGGAAACTTGCCAAGAAATCTTGGTTTAATATCTGTCACTTAGGACAACAATTAATCTGTTTTCCACTGTTTGGATTCTTAAATTGTACTCCTTCAGCCAGAGGAGCTTACGCTGCTGCTAATAAAGCTGAGACGGCAGCAAGCTGAACTGAGTAGTATCCGGGAGCATACGTTAGCACAGCTCATGCAGCTAAAACTTGAGGCCCACAGCCCAAAGGTCAGCTATGAAGACATTTATTTGTCTGTGTCATCTGCCATAATCACTTATTTTGATCCACTCATTAATCAATATAATGTGTTGTTAGTGTTAAACATGAGTCTATACCATTACTGCAGTGGCCATATTGCAACCTCCTATTAACCCTTTGAGAATTCAACTTTATTTAAATATTATTAAAAGAAAATACAGGAAGAATGCATTTGACCCACCTACACACCCATCAGCTTTAGTTGTGAGTAGGGAAATGCACACAGATTTTAAAATAGTGGTAATTACTGAATACTGTGACTTTCATATCTGGTAAAACATTGAGAAGTCTTATAATTTCCAATAAAGTAATAAGTTGAAAGTTTACTCTAGTTTTAATAATACTGTCTTTTAAATGTCAAAGATTAATTTTAAGAGAACTATTATTGTTTCTGTTCTTGATTTTAAAAAAATGAATACATACAAACAGTTCTCAAAGGGTTGAATAGCCTCTGGTTATGTGACAAACATCTTCCAAGAGGAATACCATATTGCAGATAAGAAATAGCATGTAAAAGCTTCAAACATTCAGTCTGCTAAAGCCAAGTACAGAATTTTTCTGCTTAGTAGTTCAATGTTGATACATCTTACTTAATTTCTAACAAAACTAAATAGAAATTGAAAATACTTTAATGTGTCATCTGTACCATTTAAAAGAACATTGTGTGAAAGTTGTGTACCATGATACAATAGACTGCAGTAAACTACCTGTTTTCTTATTTCAAAATTGACCTTTTTATGAATTCTGCACCCTCTTTCTCTATTCCTTTTTCCTTGATTGGTGCCTACTAGAATGAAATTCTTTCCCATCATCTTCAAAGGAACACCATATATTTGGATCATCAGGTGGGAGTCTTAGAATTTTCTTACTATAATATCTATTAGAACTTCTTAAAAGTAGTACAATTTTTGAGGCTACTTAGATATTTCAGTCACCTATAAAGCGCGACTTGTTACAAATGACAGAATAAGAAAAGCCTGACCAGATAAATTCAGGAATATTACAATAAACAGAAAGAAAGGACAGTTGTAGAAAGTAAAGGGAGAATACAAATGCTAAGCCACCTGAAATTGAGACCCTGAATTCTTTATATTTCTTTCTTCTTGTCCCACAAAAAATTCCTGTTCACTGTGGCTTTTCTCCAACTAGAGATGACCTAATTAAAGGAACAGACACTTAATGGAATTCCCATGTTGGAACGTAGGGAGGAGTATGTTGTGCTTTGCATTTCCAAAGGAGTTAAGAATAGTGGAGATAATTTTTAGTTGACTGTTCTTGTTCCCTATTTTCTTATTTTCTCCCAGTATTTGGTCTTTGCCAAGGCAGATAGACCACACTTCACAGTGACCTAAAAACAATTCATAGAATTACTTTAGTGATGGCAGCAGTATGCCTGGTTAAGGTGTACTTTCTCTTGTGAAAGGACTGACTCTCCCTGATTTTAGTTTATGAAGTGCTCAATTAATATATAAGTGAAAAATTAAATTGTTAAACACAATTTCTTCCAGTGAATGCACTTTATATAAATTAAGCTAAGACTTATCAGACCTGTTTTAAAGAGTCCCAATTTGAATATTTTGTCAAATAAAGAACCTAAGGTTACTGTGGAAAATGTTCGAAAACAAATGCTTACTATTTATATTTGCCTTTTTGAAACAAAACAATATTGTACAACTTTATAAATTACTTCCATTTTAAGAGGAATTTTACATTAGAATAATCTTTTATTTATTAAAAAGGAATCAATGAGCTAGGGTTGTGGCTCAGTGGTAGAGTGCTCGCCTAGCATGTGTGAGTCGCTGGGTTCCATCCTCAGCACCACATAAACAAATAAATAAATAAAATAAAGGTATTAAAAAAAGATTGACTTTTTCTAATAAAAACTTCACATATATTTTCACAGCATGTTTTCATCATTAGATTTTGCCTATTAGAGTACTTTAGAAGTCAGCATTTCATGTATCCAAATTCAAATCTTCAATCATAGGACTGGTGCAATTGAAATTTAGCCAGAATATATGTACTCTGAAAGCAGTCTAATTAAAGACATATTAGCTAATAAATAGGAAAATAGGTCTTCCCTCA